GAAGATATGCAGCCAGGGATATAGCTCAGCAGCACATGGCCTGCCTGGCAAGTGGCAGGTGGTGAGTTCAATTCCTGGTACAAAAAAAAAAAAAAGAATAAAAAGGAAAAACAGGGGCTGGGGAGATGACTCAGTGGAATAAGCACTTCCCTGGCAAGGGCAAGGGCCTGAGTTCAATCCCCGGTTCTGCCGAGGGAAAAAAAAAGGAAAAACAGAAAATTCAGCCAATTGTATTTGGTAGAACAAAGTATTTCTAAATTTCATTATTTAGTGTAAATTTGTGTTTAATTTTGAATATTTTTAAATTCCATAATATTATAACTTATAAAACACATGTGATAATTACAAAAAAGTTGTAGTCTTATAAGGGTTGAGTTTCAAAAACTCCCTTCATATAACTCCTTTCTGAATGGCTCAAGAAGATGCTACTATGGAAGTTTTAAAATCTATTAGTCACAGTTTTTCATATTCATGAGACATTCAAGTCTTTTGATAATGTATGGCATCTGAAAGTATTGCCATTGTTTATGTAAAATTATTAGGACAAATTTTAGCAAGCTCAAAGAACCTTAATATTACTAATGCCAAGTTAAATTTTGTGATGGGATTATTTATTGGTAAATGTTTCATTTAGCTTTATGAAAAACTGTCACATCTGACATCTAGAAATGTACACCATCTCTTCTTATAATATGAATTCTATACTTTAGCTTTTAAAATCTTCTTTATTAAAATTTAGAATTTTTGATGTAAAAGAAAAAAATTACTCCGTATTAATTAGGTCTTAAATCCTATATTCTTTCTCATAGTTTTTACATTTCTTTGTGGAGTTTAAATGGTTATGCCTATATATATTTGACTATATATTATTTGACTATATTTGACTATAATTATTTCTTTTCTCTTTTCTCTACAGTAAAAGTTGTACTTATTCCTGTAGGTCAGGAAATTATAATATCTTTTAAAGTTGAAACCTTTTTAAAATACCTTGTGGATCACTTTTCACATTTATTAGGTATCCCACCTTCTCAACTACAGATAAGTTATGCAGGTAAGTTTGAGGGTAATGAATTAATTAATTCTTCTCTAGTTTTAACACACAAGCAATGTCTTTGATTTCTTAAACTAAATATGTTGATATTTACTATTTGAATACATTGTGATTAAGCATTCATTTGTTTAAAATATTTTTAATGGTGAATTTGTGTGACATATTTGGTTAATAACTGAAAATACAAAGAAATATGACATGAGATTCTTATTTTCAAGTTGTTCATAGACTAATAAAAATTACATTCAGCAGTTACTACACAATGTATGAATGTTTCAGTGAAAATATTCACAAAAATGTATAAGAAGGGAATAAAGGAGTTCCAGAGACTTTAATACGATCTCTCTCTCTGTCTCTCTCTGTCTCTCTGTCTCTGTCTCT